TTTTTTCAACATATGCTCTACCACAACCTAAAACAATATTAAAAGCTCCATATTTAGATTAAAATGAGTAACAACGCATAACTCTAAAATATATTAGTTATCACACAAACATATAAATAATATTAATAATTAATTGTCATATAACTATTATTTGGTACCTATGGTCTTATTTGTTCCATAATCGTATAGAGGCAATAGAGCACATAACACTTTTGTCTCTTCTGAACCATCTGAACAATCCTTATGACCATCACAAACCCGCAACAATTCGATACATAGTCCATTTGATGAACAATGAAACTTGTCCTAGGTGTTTCTATAATTTTTTTCAAATGTGTGACATATAATAATTAAATATTTATTACACAACAGTTAGATTCAACCTTAATTGTATATTACTACTAATCAGCCATCTGCAAGATATATGGTTAAAAAATATCAAATTTGCATTATAAACGATTGACTGACATATTAATATATTATTGTCATGTTAACTGAATTAGAAACAAGTTAGTGAACAAAATATTCTAATAAAAATACCTATAAGGTATTTGCGAATTTGAAGTGTTTATTCAACTTAAGACTTTTAATTTAAAATATATAATATTAAACTATAGTTAAGTTATAAGTTGCTTTTATCCTATGATCCTCTTTACATTGGAGAGGCTTTGTAAAGTGTTTTTTTTTATAAGGGAATTGAGAGGGTCAGAACAGAACTCAGAAGTTATGTAGTTAGTACTAGGCACGATTAAAGACACGGCGTCAGAAGATTTTCTAAGACCATAATTAAAGATATACTGGTTGCGCCACGAGTAACGACTAGAAGTGTCGTCAACTTTTGTTTGATAAGAATTATATATATAAATATCTTAAATCGTAGGATAGGCCATTTGTGCTTTATGTAATCAAATCATCAATGAACTCTCTAATTTTCCTGGTATTTAGGTCTCTCGTATGCAAAAATCGTTCCAACCGAATTTATGAATAAATTGAATTTATCAACAAAAAAAAAATGAGATTAAAGAATATTTTATTTTCTTATAATAGATATGAACTATGAAAATTGCCTTTAGATTATTTGAGGCTTATTTAAATTCCACTTCGCAAGTATTTGCTAAATACATCAACTGGTCTATAGATGAAAAACAATATGTGACCGACTTTTGATTAGTAACTGGTATTAACTAGTTAAGTGAAAACTTACCAATAAATTCCCATCTTTTTGGATGAGGCCTTATGATTTTTAAGAGTAATGCATGGTAACTTTCTAAATAATTATTTGTCCTAATATCGCAATTATATACTGTAAATCTTTCAGGAGTTATGGAATGAATCCAAAAAGGAATAATGTATTCATAAATAAATCGGTGGTACACCAAAGCAACATATTCATACTACACTATGAATACAATTATGGCATTAACACCATCAACCACCGAAGGAACTCTGCCAATTCTTTCAGACGGAAGGTATGGTAGTGCAAGTATCTGTAAAACATTTAAATAATTAATTCACCATAGTGATATATTTTAAATGTTTAATAATAGGTAAAATATTAAGAACCATCCGGAAAACACGAGCAGCAGCAGGGTTTATTTTTACTAAATTGTAAACACCAATCGACTTGTTTCTGGCATACCCCAGAATCGCCTAAATGAATTAGTAATAATTATACATATATTTTAATACTTCTTATTAAACCCTTACCTGACAATAATGAAAATAGCAGCCCTGATGAGTTATTTCAGTAAATACAGTATGTATTGCATTGATTTGCCCAATTTCATAATCTGCAATCATAAGATTTTGGTATTGCAGGGGTATCATATCTTTGATACGTGAAAATAATACAGTATATATTCCTTCAGACTTTCCATTTAAAAGCGCATATACCAGACGATAGCTCTATAATACAAAAAAACAAGAATTAAGACTTAGAACAGAAGAAAAATATTCATATAAGTTTCATAACTGCTGAATATAGAAAAGAACATACAACATTTTT